CGCAATCACAAGGGGTGATTGAAAGGTTCAACCAGACACTGAAAAACAGATTGGCACACATGTGTAGGTCTGGAAAAATGAATTGGAAACAGGCACTGCCTATAGCCTTGATGGCAATAAGAGGAGAACCAAGCAGGCCAATTTTTATGTCACCATTCCAACTAATGTATGGGAGACACATGCCCAGTAACTTATCTCGTTCACTGGAGCTCCCACCTCCAGCAGCCACTGATGATGCTAGGGAAACTTATATGAAAACATTGGTCACTACAGTGAAGTTTCTGCAAGATAACATTGTCACGCTGACCCAGAAATCTCCAGAGCCCCCTTTGCAGGCTGTAAAAGACAAACTTACAGTTGGAGGCTACATTTATGTGAAAAACCAGAAACATTGTTGGGATCAGCTAACTTGGAAAGGCCCATTTAAAATCTCCAAACTATACGAGTATACTTTGAAATATTACTTAGACGACTCACAAACTACAGAGTCATCATTTGTGCACATATCACACACTAGGCCCACTAGTGCACCAGAAAGATCCCTGCTTGATGTAATGAAAGATATCACTACATCATCAGAAAAGGAGGCCGACAGGGGGACAGAGAGGAAGTGTCTGACTCTATTAGTTAGAACATGGGGAGTTCTAGGAGTGCGGAGCAACCCTATAATGCACCTATAGAGTCCCTCCAGATAGCCCTGTGATGCAAGTGTCTGATGGCATAGGGACTAGTGATGACAATAGTATGAGAGACCTTCTGGAACTGTTGGGAGTTGAGGATTTTGGACTTTGGGGCTCTGGACTTCCAGACTTTGGAGATTGGGATGGTTGAGGTTCTGGCCCCTGAGGTTCAGGAGTCTGGATATCAGGATTTTGACATTAGAGATGGTGGAGGACAGGGTTTTGGGGTCCTGGACATTGGAGATTGGGTTGTTGAAGGTCAGGGCGATGAGGTTCAGGATGTTGAATATGCAGGATATTGCCATTTTAGATTTTGGGATTCAGGGGTTTGAAATTATGGTCGAATGGACTTCAGTTATTGAAGAATTTGGCAATTTCTCTGACTTTTATGGATTCGGGCTGATCAAGGGGACTGTGCATTTAACTGACGTGGTTTGGATCCGACATAAGTGATAATGGGGGGGGTGACAAATTGGCCTATAAGGGATGTTTTAATTTATCACAGGATTGTGATAAAACAGGGGAAGATTGATTATTAAGATGATTATCGGTTTTAACGTTTTTTTATATTGATTGATTAGTAATATTATTTTTATAATTATTGATTGATGATATATATAAAAAAAAAAAAGTAAAAAAAAATATTCATGATCCAAATCAACTATTTAGATGAGCAATTGACAAATCAAAGCTGAAAACACTAATCTGGTATGCATGGATAGACTTAAAAGACTGAGGTGTTCAGCATGCAGGTACTCTCAACATGATAGGACCATGGACA